TTTACAATGTATGACTTTATTTTATTTTTCGTTGGGATATTTTTACGTCAATTAATTGATAGATATATTGATTGATTCACTGGTTTATTCATATGTTAGTTCATTCATTCATTCATCAATTCATTCATCCATTCATTCATCCATTCTTCATCCATTCATTCATCCATTCACTCATTCATACATTGGTTGAGTACAGTGACCTGAAAGGCATGCCCTCACGGCTCCTTCCATAAAAAAACATCGATTTAGGTAGAAACCGATCAAAAAAAGTTTGCCAGCCCAATTTTGGCCACACTACAACAACAAATTTCGGCTTACACCGATCCGTCATTCATTATCATCATCATTTTAACTGTCATTAGTGTGTGTGTGTGTGTGTTTGTTTGTGAGTGGCTCACTCACATCAGGGTGATGATGTGAGTGAGTCATTCCATTCTATCCACGAATGTCTTAAACCATAATGCTGCGCTAGATCAGTTAACCAACCGGAACCTAGTTGTAATACTATCACCCTTATTGTTATTGTTATTATTATTGTCGTTGTTGTAATTGATGTTTTTGTTGTTGTTGTTGTTTTTGTCGTCAAAGTTGCTGTTGTTGTTGTTGTTGTTGTTGCTGTAACCGGTTTCGTATTGGTTTCGTTGGATCGTGACATGTTGTAATTATTATTATTATTATTATACTTGCCAAGCTGGGATGGACCACGACAACATCAAGGCATTGTTAGTAAATGAATCATAATCACAACTATTTTCATCCAAGTGTAATTAACTATTGTTATAGACAGACAGACACACACACACAAATACATTAAAACACACACACACACATATATAAATATATTGTGTGTATCTGTGTGTGTGTGTGTGTGTGTGTGTGTGTGTGTGTGTGTGTGTGTGTGTGTGTGTGTGTGTGTGTTTTACGTTAACACAAATAGCAAAATTTTTACCCAAAGACAGCCTTCATAATGGTCTGTATTCACTGAAGATAATATATAATAATAATTATACAATTATTGATGAATAATAATAGTAATAATAATAAAATTTAATGTATAATTATAAAATTATTGATGAATAATAATAGTAATAATAATAACAATAAAAATAATAATAACAACAGCAACAAAAATAGCATCAATAAAAATATTTTAACAATACCAGCTGAAGAGGTAAGCTAAAGCTAGTCGTAAGTTGATCACGAGATAATTATCAATATTATAATTAATTGTATTCATACATACATACATACATACATACATACATACATACATACATACATACATACATACATACATACATACATACATACATACATACATACATACATACATACATACACACACACACACACACACACATAAATACACACATACATACGTATAATAACAACAAATACAAATTATAAAAAAAATAATACAAACTCTACGTATAATACTAATACATATAAGTTGAACACACACATACATACAAACATATAAATTGTATACATACGTATATACATTCATAGATATAGATGGATATAGAGTGGTGAATAGCTTCTTCAACACAACTTTTAAAACTTTTAACAAGAAATTTTTCAAAAAATTTTGCTTCATTCATTCAAAGTGATAGAAGGAAAGAATGGCAGACAGAACTAAAGAAAGGAAGAAGGATTGATAGATGGATATATAGATAGATAGAACGATAGATACAAACATAGATAGATACATAGATACAAACTGCAGATGTTATTACTATAACAATAAAAGTTACATCAACAAAAACATCAACAACAACAACAAAATCAAAAAAAGAGCAAAAGAACCGCTAAAGACAAAAAAAACATTGAAAACAACAACAAAACTGACAACGTCAATTGCAGCTTCAGAAGCAGCCGAAGTAGCAGCCAAAGTAGCAGCAGCAGTTGCGACAACAACAACACATGACATCAACAACATTAACCGTTGTTGGAACATACTTAGACAATTATATTAACACCTGAAACAACTACAACAATAACAATTATAATGTTATTATGTTAATGCCAGCAGAAAGATCTCAAATACATCTTCATCGTCAACAACAACAACAAAATCATCATCATTATCACCATCGTCAACAACAACATCATCATCATCACCAACACAAACCAAAGCAATGTTATTATAAACTTCAGTTTCGCTTACGTACATACATACACGAATGCATATAAATAAATATGTATATACTCGAGTACATATATATGCATATAGTATTAATTATCAAAATTGACAGCGAAAACACGCGCATCGTCGTGCACTCGTGTTT